GGGCCTCCCGAAAATGCTGATATAGGAGGAGGCAACAAGAAAAATTTTGAAAGACGAACGTACACTAGAAATTAAGTCGATTGATGAGCTCAAGGCATAGTATTTACTTTACAGCAATATAATATAGAAAAAGAAACATTTCAAGAGCTTAGTACAACAAATGAGCGATATTCACATCAAGGACAACAACTTTTACTATCTTAAAGAAACAGTAAGGGCAACGCGCCACACGCCATACTTCACCTCATCCACTTCTCTTCGACACAACGCGGAACTACTAATTTGTAATGTTTCGAGGCGGATGAAGTTAAGTCTGGCGCGTGCCGAACGAGGCGCAAATGCGTTCCGTACCAGTCTCACCCGTATAGAATCAGAAAGGCATGCTGTGGGTCCCGCACACCGAGTACTTACAGATCCCCAAATTTTAACGATATGTGCGCGACCCACTTAGCCGACAACTAGTGGACCTAGCTGAGTTTTTTCTATCTGACTGACTTCTCGCTACGGAAGAAAAATGGTCTAGGGGATGACGATGCCAGCGGCAGCGCCGACGTACGGGTGAGACCGTCGCGGTATCGCGCGCCCATATAGAGCTGCCATCGTGGGCGATTCGGGTTGCTAAGCAAGCGCACGGCGATTCCGAGACGATATCGCTGCCAGATCGGGAAACAGCTGCGCGACTGCTTCGTCGATGTGCGCACAGAAGCCTCGTAGTGAGAAATCTCTGTCGAAGCGAGCACGCTGAAACGAGGATCTTGTTTGAAAGCATCGAGATCTTTAGGATAAGCCGAGTTCCTTGATCTCATAGAACCCGGATAGCGATATATTTACGGAGGACAAGACGCGTGAGAAGCGGATCTGCCAAATGCTTGGAGAAATCTCTACATCTCCAGTCAAGCGGCTGGATCAGCCGATTTTTTCGTTTGACTATTAAAGTAGAAAAGTACCCAAATCCGAAAACTGCCCAGAAAAAGTTCACGTTGCTGTCTAATAAGTACAAAATTACTTGTTTTTCGTAGGTCTCGTCGCAATCGAGGGCAGGCCATTCCTGCTTTTTGATGTGATGCACCATTGCCTCGGCCAGCAATTCCCCCGTCGGTTTCAAAATCTGGATCACTTGCTATGATTGCAGGTCGAACAATGTAGGATTGCTTACCTTGCTCCCTGTGACGTCTTCTATGACTG